GAAGTAGGAGAAGTAGGAGTAGTAGGAGTAGTAGGAGTAGTAGTAGCAGCAACTGTTGTTGTTGTAGTTGCGGTTGTGATTGTGGTTGTGGTTGTTGTTGCTGCTGCTGTTGTTGTGGCTGTTGCTGTTGTCGTCGTCGTCGTCGACGGTGTCGTCGTGGTGGTGGTGATGCTATACAACAACGGCTGCAGTGGCAGACGCAGCAAGGGCAGCGGAGCTGTGTCAGTCGCTGTAGCACCGGAAGTGCGTAGCAGTGGTAGGATGCTGATGGTTTTGGTGGGCGGTGGTAAGCTAACCGCTCACCCTCTTCTCTTCTGGAATGTCATCGCAAACCCCAAGGCGGCTCCCTCTGGCCTGGCCAAGCCGGAATCCGGCACCGCGTAGCCAGGCCCGCACGCAGCGGCAGCGCCACGCCTTTCGGGGAGCTGCTGGATCTAGTGTTAATTACTGATTGTGCTTCTTGCTAGTAGCATTAAGATTACTCTTATGATGAATATGAATATTCTGAGTTCGATGACTATGACTGGCCGCAGGAGTTTGGTTCGAGGCTTGGGGATTCCTGGTCTCGAGCTCAGGGGTGAAGGGCCTCGGGATCGCCCCTTCGGCTTTGGCGGCTACCTGAGGCTCCATGTTAGGCTTGAGCCGGCTTTGAACTCTAGACCTTGACGGGTTGTACTTGCACCGTTTCGGGAATCGGAGGGTGAGGATACAGGCTCTGGTTTAAGTAGCTCAGTGTCTTGGTGGCTTCTTTGTGGCATTGGATGATTGTGCACTCCTTTGTGGTGTCTCTAGGCCTCGAGTTGCCATTTCACGATTGTCGCAGTGCATCGCAGTGCCTCCTCGTGTCCGAGCTTTGTGGCGAGGTGCATAGTTATGGCATAGTTTGGGCTCATCTCACAGTATTTACACACTCCCGGTGCGTCTGCATCCACCGGAAAGTACGATTCACACGGTCCTTTCCGATACATTTGTGTCGCGTCGGCCCCGGCCCCGAAAGTCGAAACGCACGAATCCCGCCAGTACCAGGGGAAAGCATGTTGGTCATGTCTCTGAACATGAGCACGCATCTTGGCCGTGGTGTCCTGAAAAAGCTGAAAATCCAGGTCGTGGTCTCTTTTGTCGTCGTGTCCTGTGGTCTTGGTGGTTTTTAGTGTATACTATACTATACAGTATACAATAAATATCGTATATAGTATAGTATATAGTATAGTATGATGCGGCCGCAAGTTTCCTTCAACCCAGGCCTCCAAACATGATCGGAGCAGTTGGAGGCAGTCGCCCACCACACGATACTCCACGGTCTTCACGATGAGCCCTGGGTTTGGGGTCTTGAAACACGTTCTTCCACGTGCGGGACGCAAGTTGAGCATAGTGCCGGCGGGATGTGTGAGAGCATACGCCCCGACAGTCAATACAACAGATTCTAAGGGAGGAAAAGACAAAGCGCAGGATATACTCGCAAAATAACAGCATGCTGGCACATCGCAACAACTTCATCCCATGAGGAGAGCTTCGTTGGGCACCCCGGTTCTCCCAGAAGCCCGTTCTGAGCCTCGCGCTGCTGCGGGCCCCGTGTTCTCGCCACCGGTCGAAGACCTACTTACAGGATACCAAGGAAGCTGACCGTCTCCGGATGGTGAGCTGAAGTCAACCATAGAATCATGGAAGCAAAGGGTTGGAAAGCGTGCCAAACTATGCAATGCGTGCGCAGCTCGGACGCGCAGCTCGGGGTGGGGAGACGTCCAACAGGAGCGCTGCTACAGGGGTTCCATAAGGGTTCTACGATACATCTGTATATGTATGTATGTATGTGTGTATGTATGTATGTATGTATGTATGTATGTATGTATGTATGTATGTATGTAATTGTATGTATGTATGTATGTATGTATGTATGTATGTATGTAGGTCATGGGTAGATAGATAGGTAGATAGATAGATTGATTGATTGATTGATAGGTAGATAGACAGATAGACAGATAAATAGATAGATAGATAGATAGACAGATGGATAGGTAGGTAGATAGATAGATAGATAAATAGATATACACAGATAGATAGGCAAATAGATAGACAGACGGATAGATAGGTAGATATGTAGATAGAAAGAAGAGATAGATAGATAGACATATTATTGTGCGAAAAATTGCGAAATCTTTTCAGGTATTATGACGAAAACGCAGGAAAAAGTATAATGTTACACTATATTCCAGAGTCCTGCAGAAGCTCTGGCCTTGTCCTGCTCTGCTTGAAGTCGCTCGAGGCGCTTCCTAAGAGGATCTGTGTCAGAAAATTTAGGGCTGAAAGGAGGACGATTCGATGGTTGCTGACAGCCTGTCAATAATCAAAGGAGGAAACTGCAATTTCAAAGGATGTTCCACAATCATACAACTACTACTTCTGCTTCTACTACTACTACTACTACCACNNTAACCTTACTTGCTAAGTCCCGTGATCCTCCAAGTAGCAGTCAAGGTTCCACAATACAGTATGCATCAGTACAGTATAATGTAACTTAGTCTAATGTAATCTAGTATAACTTAGTATGGTATAGTATGATGTAGCATAATCTGAATGTGGTCGACTACTACTACTACTACTACTACTACTACTACTACTAGTACTACTACTACTGCTACTGCTACTACTGCTACTACTACTGCTACTACTACTAGTACTGCTACTGCTACTACTACTACTACTACTACTACTACTACTAGTTCTAGTACTAGTACTACTACTACTACTGCTGCTACTACTGCTGCTACTACTACTACTACTACTGCCACTGCTACTACTACTCCTACTACTACTACTACTACTACTACTACTACTACTGCTACTACTGCTACTACTACTCTACCACTGAAGTTACTGAAGCTTGTCTTGATCTGTCTGCCAGGGCTCTGCTCGTCTTGCAGCGCTTGCTCTTGCTGCCTCGTGAGAGCGGACATCTTTACGCAGAAATCCTTACATTAAAACCGTTAGCCAAAGTAGTTCGCGGTAATGGCAGTTGTGGTATCAAAAATATACCTGGCACCAGTGACAGTAGCGGCAGTAGCAGTAGCAGCAGCAGTAGCAGTAGCAGGGCCTACATCCGAACGATGTAGTAGCAGGTAGAAGCAGCAGTAGGAGGAGTAGTAAGTAGTAGTTGTAGTTGTGGTAGTAGCAGCAGCATTAGTAGTGGTCGTTCTTTGCATTCCTTCACATTGATAAGCTTTGGATCTTCTGCCTCTTCTCATCCTCGAGCTGCTTCTGCTTCTGCTGCAGCTCACGTACCTCGCATCTCGGCTTCTAGGAACTTCAGACCTTTGAACCAATCTATGCGTTTGGGGTGAAGGCCCGGGCAGCAGCAACTCTGCCCAGAAACGTGTAGCACCCTGCTGTTCAATTGTCCCACTGGCTACATAGGGCCCGCCGTCCAGCATGATCTCGAAGCCGGCGCCGAGTAATACGACGCGATGGGTGTCCTCATACTACCTTCTTCCACACCGTCAAAGGATCCCATACAGATACCACATGACTTAACAGAAAACTCGAGCCCTTTGAGTTGTTTTGGAGGCCGCAGACCGGGCGGGCCTCGTTCTGCAGTTTTCGCTGCTTTTCCTCCGACTCCTTGCTCGCTCCACCTCGGAAGAGGCGAAGCGACACTTGAAGCCTACGGCCAGCACCACGGCTCTGCCCTAAACTTTGCGGGAAGCCGATGGCTGTGCTGAACAGAGTGATCACTGTGTGAAGGCTGTGTATCTCTCACGCAGGCTGCACGCAGACACAGACACGGGGACACATGCATGCACGCGCACACAGCGCACGCGCACGCACACACACACACACACACACAAACTTCAGAAACGAACCCCGTTATCTCCGAGGTATGTCGCATCCTGGGGCATCCTACAATGCAATACCTGAAAAAATGAAGAAACCAGGCCCGCGGCCTCCCATCGAACGCAGCAGGAGGATCAAAGATGCACATACATCCAACCGATTCTTCTGTTCCGGCCTGACACGCCAACCTGAATCAACAACAGTGTCTGGCTACTTTGGAGGCCCTGTTTCTGTGTGGCCGGACCTTCATGCTTGTCAAGACAAGCCCTGATTGTTATAGAGGCGATCGATCGTGGTCGCATCAGCTGCATAGGGTCTTAAGCTGTCGAGCCAGGAAGTACCGTTTGTGAAGACTGCTGATCATGACAAGCATAACACTGGTGACGACGACGATGATGACGGTGACGACGAGTGGCGATGACAATGCTGCTGATGCAGATGATGACGCAGATGATGATGGATGTGATGATGGTTAGTGATGATTGCGGTGGTGATGATGATGATGATGACGATGATGATGATGGCGGTGGTCGTGGTCGTGGTGGTGCTGGTGCTGGTGGTGGTGGTGGTGCTGGTGGTGGCGGTGGCGACGGCGCGGCGACGGCGACGGCGACGGCGACGGCGACGGCGACGGCGGTGGCCGTCGTGGTGGCGGTGGTGGTGGCGGTGGCGGTGGCGGAGGCGGCGGCGGCGGTGGCGGTGGCAGTGGCAGCGGTAGTGAAAGTGGAAGTGGAAGTGGTAGTAGTAG